GGGAAAAAGAAGGTCCAAAACTAAATTATGTAAGTACATCAGGTAAATTCTGGAAATACATTGTGAAATTGTATTTCCCAAATACATTTTTTGACATTTTGTTGCTCTTTCGTTTGCTGCTCAAGGCCAGGCTGGATGGGGCTTGGAGCAACCTGGGCCAATGGAAGAGAGGTGTCCCTGCCCACAGCAGGGGTTGGAATGGGATGATCTTCAAGGTCCCTTCCAGCCTTAACCATTCTATGATTCTTAATCTGTAGAGACCATTGATATGTTCACAAAAGATACTGTCCAGTGCCTTGAGTGAGCTTTACGAACTCTTTACAGAGATTCTGGACAACTTATATGGAAAATGTAGGTATACTGTCACCACCACACCAAGAAGCTTGTTTGCATATCATCACCAAAGATGATGATCATCAAAGATAACACCACCAAAGCTATAACGCTTTAAAGTCTCTTCCAATATTGCTGAAACACAGTACACTTGGTGTAAAGGGCATGAAAAACAACCTCTTTCACATAAAATGCCATCAGACCAACCATTCTAGAAGGAGCACAAGAAATACAATATATGCATACTGCTGTCATCTGCCTTTCTTCAGTCTGGCATCCTGCTGCTCCTTTCTTTAATGGAAGAAGAACCTGACGGTCCAGCCCAGGCAACAGAAGGAAACTCAAGCATGGCTTTCATGGCTAATGCCTTCAGTGATTTTCAAGCTGTGGTTCTGGGATTTACCAGTCACTTTTTGTAGATTTTTGTATGAGGTTGCAGAAAAGCAGCTTCATTTACACTAGGAAACAATCATTTTCAGCATCATAATCTATGTCTGCTATTACATTTGGCTTCCTTATGATGAGCAGCTTTTCTTCGAAATCTTCCTTCCTTTTTAAAACCATTCTCCCCTAACAGTGCTCAGTTCATACCTCGTGTCATTCATTACCTTTAGTTTATGCAGCTCAAACCCTCACCAGTTCTGTGGTTTCCTCAAGAAGTAGTTCAGCTGAAGAGAAAAAGCAGAAACAGCAGAAGGACACTTTCTGCATCTCAGGCAGAGATATTAAGATCTCCTTATACATCTAGGTTGCATCTACACAGGTACATTTGTGTTTGTATTTGAGTTGTTTTCCCAGAATCTGTCAGAGACATTAAGTGGGCTCTCCACTGCAGTGGGAATCGGATGTTTTCAACAACTCCCAATTTAAATAAAAAAATAAAAATAAATTCTGACTACGGAAATGTGTTTGAAACAGGAGTGAGAAAAGTGCTCAAAGCTAGGTCGAGTGACTTCCTTACAAAGACCACAGAGAAGCAGAGGGCAACATGAGCCCGCAGTGGATGTGCCCTTGAGTTAGCAGTTCAGAAATGTCATTGGAAAGTTCAGTGCTCGTTACCAACAAAGATGACTGTAAATAATTTGTTGCTTCAGCTGTTAAGGTTTTGGTTTTTTTTCTCGTTCTGTCCTCTATCCTCTCCCACACACTGCTATTTTTATATAGAGCCACTACCAGATGTCACTTTGTCATCTGCCACCAATACACCATCACCCTTTCCTGATGAGGTTTTTGCTACTTCTAATCTTTAAGTTATATCTAAGGTTTCTGGCATTAGAAAAGAGAGGAAATAGAGAAAGAGGTGTTAAAAAAACAAAGTCTGAACTAAGACTCCATAAATATAAACAGTTCCTTCCATGATGTTTTTAGTTTACATGATAAACTAAGCTAAATAAGCTAAGGGAAACTAAACCATATATGCTGATCTCTCTCTCAAAAAAAGATAACGATAGATAAATAAAAAATAGATTTATTAGAAAGGATGCCGTTACCCTGCTATGGAACAAGATTTTTTATATTTTTAGCATTCGAAAACATGTATCATTTGAAAGACTAACAGGATTTGTGGAAGGTTGAAAAGGTGATTTGACTTTTTTCTTCTTTTTGCGCTTTATCACGTGACTCCAGTGTTCTCAGTCCCAAAGAACAGTGTCTGTCAGAATGATATATATCACTAACAAAAAAATTATTATAAACAAAAAGTGAAACAGGAACATGTCTGCAGATGGAAGGAGGAATTAGGGAAGCATCTCTGGGCTGCAGAGGGGTGCACAAACAAAATCCCTTACAAGATACCTTTTTCAAATATTTATCCAGTTAACCAATGCATAAATGACCAAATGAATGGCCCACTGGCTCAACATACAAAAATAATGCATTAAGACAATGATGCTTGAAGGGACAGGTTTATTACATTTCCTACACCTTTTCCTTTCTGAGTCGGTGACCAAAGCAATAATGAAAACCTTAATCCAGAAAAAGTTCACAGCAAATTTCATTTCAGGTTCCGAAATAAAAAACATAATGTATTTGTGCAGTTAATTAAAACACTATTTGGTTCTCCTCCCTTCTCACACCTTGCAATGGCATTTTCAATACAGTAATGCTTAAAAAACTACAGTAAACACAACATAATCCTAAATAATAGTTATTTTTTAATTACATGGTATAGAATACCTTGCAAACAAAAGACACTCATTAAGATTTACTGACAGGTACTGTATTTTTTGGCAACCCTGGAACAAACCAGAAGAAAAAGCACAGAATTATTCTATAACCATGAGGGAAAGAAACGTCCATCTAAACTAAAGAAAAAAATCCACACTTACAGCAGATTTTTTTTTAATTCTTAGTGCAAGAAACAAAACCAAGTTAATCACAGAATCAGTACTAATTCAGAATATGGAAAATTCTCCTATACAGAGGTAGAGTCCAGTGCACAAGGCTAAAACGATATTCAATAGTCTAAACAAGACTGAGCCAGGTTTTACGGAATCCACTTTTTAAAGTATCAGACTGTATGTACATACATACAATAAATAGACTATACAATCTTTAAAGTAGTTTAATAAACTTCACAAAAATTATAGTAGATGCATTGAGATCTTTACACAATCCAAAGTTCATATCTCTATCATCCAGAAATGGATAAACCCAATATTTCTGATATCAAGTTAAATGGAAAATAGTTTAGCAAAGTGTTGATAAATCAAAATATTTTACATATTTTAAAGCCTAAATTTATGCTTATAAAGGATGAATTTCAAATGCTCTGAAAATGTTCCTTTTGATACTATCTGTAAAGAGGTTTCAAATGCTGCAATTTGCATTTGTATTGTTATAACCACTTTCCTTACATTCCATGTTCAAGGGAAAAGCAGACTTGGATACTCACAGTTCTGATGCATTGGCACAGCAAGAAGTGATGAGAATTCGATTATTTTAAAGGCCCAAAGGACATCAGGAGAATTTACGGACAAAACCTTCGTGTCTCAAACTACACAAATCCCATTAGAAAGTTAAGAGAAACCTGTTTGGTATTACTACCTCAATCCTGTCAGTGCCTCTCTGCCCGGAAGCATCCGATTAGCGCTGCACTGGAAGTCAAGTGTGCATTTCTGGGCCCCTCGGTTTGCTACAAGCCCATAGGGCTTAATAAAACAAATATGGAATCTTTATGGTTTACCACAGTAGTGCATGAATCAGGGATGTCTGTTGCCATTCACTTTAGTGATAGTCGTAAAGAAAGGATTTCAGGGAACTGAGAGTTTTCAGCTCTATCTTTCTAAACTGAGCAAAAAAACGGGGGGAAATATCACCCTGGGGCATTACAAAGCAAATGCGCTTATACTGACTGGTTATTTTCTATAAAAGGTTCTTACAAATTCCAAGGGGGCAATAGCCACAGTAAGAGCAAACTAGTAACAACAACAGAAGAGCTTAATTAGCAGAGTCCAAAATTATATTCACAGTTCAGTTATACTTTTAATATCTATAAGCACCTATGCTGAAAAACACAAGGGGTTGTATTTTAGCTTCAAATTTGAATCTACTTGTGACAAATACCTTATGAAGATTTCCATTCTGCTCTTCTATAGGCCTTCTCACTGGAACAATTTTTTTATGATTTTTTATTTTTATACAAACAGATTCACTTTGATTTAAAGTAAACATATAAAAATTGAGAATATTGCTTGCAACAATGGACCTGGAGGTGACAGAATGAAATAGTCACGCCATACAAAGAAAAAATAATCTACCACAAAATGAATTCTGCTAAACTTCTAATGCTATGAAAATCTGCAAAAATGATCACAAGATCTGTTGCAAATTTTGGAGATTTGGCCCAAGTCTTATCATCATCATCTGAATACTTCAATAATTGTATCTTTATAGTAAGGAAAAATAAATGATTCCAAGAACTCAGGAAGGCACACGCACCCAAGTATACTATAAATAAAACACATCATGAGATTATGAAGATCTTCTGATCCCTGTACACACTTTTGGTTCAGCACTATGGTCAAGTTCGCTCTTGAAATACAATAAAAGGCATACAAGAAATAACATATGCATAATAATAATGAAGAATAATGCTAATAAGACAGCTTACAGAGAAAAGTGCAGTGAAAAAACCCAACGCTATTTATTCAGGGGCTTGTGCTACCGTAAATACAGACTTCGTATTTGCTGCTGTGCAAGGGGAAAAATTTATCCTGGGAAGCAGCAATGAGGACCGCAAAAAAACCAACAACAACAACAAAAAGAAGATATTAAGAGAAACCTTTGAGATGGAACTCTTCCAACGTCATTCCTCTAGTGCACAGTCATCTGACTACATGGTCTGTTTTCATGCTGCCATTTCTCTCCGTGAGCACAGCATATTAGAAAATGGCACAGTTCTTAAATATTTTTCTGCCTCTACTTCATTTTTTTGTTTCTTCTTCCAAGCACCTGATTTGCTGTTTCCTCATAAAAAGCGTAAAGCTGTTAGCGAAAGTGAGAAAAAAAAAAATTGTTGCCCATCTTCTCTCCCGAACACTGATTTCTCCATTTCTCCTTCCACTAGGTATTTCACTCGTGTGCTACACAATGGGGAGGCACTGTAAAGGCAGCTTGACAGATTTAAAAATAAAAAAATCAAAAGTCTTTTTTCTTTATCTCCCCGCCCCCAGCCCACCCCAAAAAAATATGGATGGATGAAACAATATGTCCGTAGGAATATTCCAGTCTCCTCTGTTAGGAGATAATAGCAGGGGACCATCTAACCACAGTCAGATTGTCAGCACTGACTGACCGTTTCTTTGCGGCTTTCCTGAAGTCCTTGTATTTATCTTCACACAAGCGGGAAATAGCCTGGAAGACAAAAGAATGAAGCATCCTCAATTGCATTGACCACAGCTGGTCAGGTGAAATAAAACCAGACGCAGATTTCTACATAGAGGTAGAATCACAAAAAGTCACATCATTAAGCAAAATCACACTGAGCAAATCCTCCTTCTCATTTCATTCATCTGAAAAGAAAGAAAGAAAGGCATCACGCTGCCACCACAGTTGCTTCAGATGAACTCAGGGAGCCTACTCCAAGCCTTCTCGTTATGGGTTAAGCATCCCAGATCTCATCAAGGCAGCTGACAATGCTTACCCACTCCTACATGGTAACTCATATGTAGCACTTCACTGGTGAAAAATTATGGAGAACTTAATAAAATAATTAAAGATACTGTAATTATATGCAGAGAACTTAGAAAGAGGATGGCTCTTCATTTTTTTGTTTCCTTAAAAGTCTTGTAGTAACTAAATTTTTCTCTGCTGACAAATGGACTATCAGAATACTTGTCCTGCTTTGCTTACAGAGCTGAAGTTTGCTTGTGTTTCAGAAGGGATGGTGATTTCTATGGGATCAGGCTATTTTATGTGGTGCCACTGGGAAACATAGCTCACATTCAAAATAATTTAATTTCCATTAAAAGTACACAGAAATGTTAAAAAACCTTAAGAGAGAGACACAAACATTATTCAAACCGACCCTTATTATATACTACAACTGGAACTAACATTTTATGTCTTCTACTGTTTTTGCCACGTTTAAAACAAATATTTTTTATGGACCTCACATACACAAATATAGCGTGCCCTAAACCAGCATGTCTATTAGAGTTCATATGGTTGGGACAGGCTATGGTAGGGATGCTAACGCTGGTGATCAGACACATAGAACTGCAGAGAAAGCTCATTGCAAGGAGTACTCAAGGTCAAATTAAAAAATAAGATGAACTAGAACAGCATTTTTATTTACTCAGGAATACTTTAAGTGGTGTCTTAAGATAGGCTGTTTAATAAAAAGCACTGTACAAACAAAACTAGTTCAAGTCCTAGATTACAAAACAATACACACGAACAGCCCCAACTCCACTGATCGTCATTTTCTTTCTTGATCTTTACTTCTGTAGCACAAGAAGTTCTAGCAGTGAAGATACCTTTAATTGAAAAAGCCCTTCAAAGACCAGAGGCATGACAGCAAACCAGAGGCATGACAGAAGAACAGAGGCATGACAGAAGCATACAACTCATTCATCTGAGAGAAGCTCACCTAACACTTCGGTCAAGCCAGCTATACAACACGGTTAAATTTAAACAAAAAACAACCAAAAAAAGCCCACCACAAAACCTACCACCACCACCAAGAAACCAGTTGTGACCTTTTAGTTGAAAACTGGATTTCTTTCTGTTAAGACCACTCTTGAGCATACGTTTTTTTCCTTGGTGTACACAAAGAGAACAACAGAATAAAATAATACAAATATTGCCACTGCTTTGTAGACTATAACTTAACTCACTGAAAACTGCTTAATAACACTTTATTTAATTTAACCAGGAACTCAATGGACTAAGAAAATTTATGCAATTCAATTGGATTTAAAATCCAACAGATGAAAAGCGTTTAATCATGAAATAATGTGTCAAGGCATGGCTTGGCAAACAGGTGTCCTGAGGTGGAGCTCACTTCTTCCAGCTGCCAAATGGGGCTATTACTTTGGACATCAAACAGCCAGAGAAGGTAATCACTTCAAAATTGTCCATTACACAGGAATATTTCTGTTCTGGCACATGGTCAGAAAAAATGAAATTTTGCTTGGAAGTAGCACTTGGTATTTGGCATCTCTAGTCTCTGGTGATTAATCACATGGATAAGAAACACACTGACTGCTGTTTAAAGCAATCCTCTATGTAAAGATGCCTCTTCATTTGCAAATAATTTTTTTTAAAAAGACATTTAGAGCCTATTTGCCAAGTTAGTTAGTCAACTTCAGCATAACATATGTGTAAACAAGACAAAAGCAGAAAGCTGTAAATATTTATTGTCCTTCATTTAAAATAAATCCAAATAGCTTACAAACACCTTTCTGTCATCTGAGATTTCTGTTGCTTTTATTGCTAGAAAAGCAAACCAATTTCTGACAGTTGTGAGGGACCGTTGCTCATATGAAATCAAAGCATTCGTAAAAACAGCAACACTAGTCAATTGTGAAATTTTGTTGGTCTTCTCTGTAGTATCTGTAACCAGCTGGAAAAATGCATACATATATACTCTTCTATTACATATATGCATGCAGAACTAAAAGTCACTCTCTCTACTGAGGTATTTGACTTTAGATGAGACTTTGTCACTGGCGAAGGGGGTGGGTAAGGAGAACGGAAGGGGGAGAAAAGCAGCAGCAGTAGTAGTAGTATAAATTTTGGCTGCAGTCATGGGTTTGTGCAGGGCAGGAAAGCAGCAGGGCTGGTTATGGCTTCACTGCTGGGAATGCACAAAAGCACACAACGGTGAGTGCTCCAGTACCCCCCAAAATGGACATACCAGAGAGAATTCAACAGGAACAGACAGCACTAAGTGTGGAAGGGTTAGATATAAGGAAAATGTAAAGGAAAAAAAGAAAAAAAAAGATAAAACAACTAGAAGTTTTGATGATGGAGGTTCTCCTTATTTTATGGAGAATGAGAAGAAGAGCAATTGGGTTACTCCCAACCAAAGAAATAGGGGAGTTTTGCTCTCCCTTTGCTTCTTGGCTAAGCAGGTTCTGAGCAAACAAAACCCAGTGCAACAGTGGGAACCTGGAGGGATATAAAGACACTTCTCTACTTACAGCTTACACATGATCTCCTCTTTTTTATCTGTTTGATCTACTGGACTGTATCTCTTTGGGGTCAAGAAAACACAGCACATAGTTCAAAAGGGTTCGAACTATGTGCTCAAGCGCTATCCTAACAATAAAAACCTCAGACAAGTTAAACTGGGAATGCACTAACAAATGCTCTTAGAAAATCTAGCCTTGAAACAAGAGCACAGTGCTAAGACTACAAGCAGAGAGTAGGCACCTTTTGTGAACTTATCCCAAAGAGCAGAATCTGACGCAAGCTTAACTCAGTACATGGGATGATAACGAGGTGCAACACTAGGAGGCTACAAAATACTGGATTAAGGTTGGATATCCCATGACCTTCTTGGCAGAAAAATCTCCCACTGCAGATGCTCCAAAAAGCAATGTAATTTTTAGTAAGTACTATAGCCTCCTATAACACCTCTGAGCTGCATTTCCATCTGATGAGGATGAGTATTTATTAGCATTGTCCTCAGTCTTCCTGGTTGTTGGGGGTTTTTTGGTTGTGGGTTTTTTTTTTCCTGAGGTATGTCAACCTCATGATATTTGCAGAAATAGCAACACAGATTCTGCCATGCCAAATTTAATACTCCTGCTTTCGATACACAAAATAGCTTGAAAACACCAAAGTAGGAAAAATGTGTTATAACATAACCATATCTCTATGCAAGACCTTTTGTGTTCTGAAATGTCAGCAAATAAGTTGTTTTACGTCTTTGGACTGAGCAAGGTCTTTTCAGTTTACCAGACAAGGCAAATCAGTCCACCGCACATGCACATTTGCTATGAATCTGTTGTCTTTCATCACAGACTGCAGTTTTTCCTTCAGTATCAAAAATATCACAGCCTGTGTGGCACTACATCTACTCCACCTGACAATCCAGGCAACTGTTTTAAAAACAGAGAACTCGGGGCTGAACAGCACGAGAGACCTAGAAAAGTGCTGCAAACACATTTTGACAACTCTTGGCAAGCTAAACACCTAACTGTGCTCAAGGAACCAGGCTATAAATCATGCTGTCAACTAGTTTCAAGGGCACACTAATGACAACCAAGTATTACCAGGGAACAAGGCAGTTCCCGTCATGTTCCCTTCCTTCTGGCCACGGAACAGAGGCAAAGAGCTGGTAAAACAAGTTGGTTTCACAGCAGGTTCTCATCCTCTTCCCTGAAGACATCCTGTTTGGCTAGCAGGGGAACTTTACAGACAACATCTGACAGCAGCACAAAGCATCCCCAGCATGGAAAATTTTTTTATAATATAGATTAATTGAAAAAAAAGTTCCATTATTTCTTTTAAAATATGCTTTCTCTTTAGTTAATACAGAAGAATTACCAGTGTTGCCAGGATATTTACAGTAATTTTCTATTTTCTTCTAAGGTTTTAGGACCTTCATTTGTAAGCCACTGTTATACACTGTGACACTGACAGTGTAGGGAACGCTGTGTACTAAATTCTCTTAAAAAATTAGTCACTCAATTTTAACATATGTAATGGTACTTATTATCAAGACACATCATCTAATAACTTAGTAAACTATCTCTTTTCACTTAAGAGCACAATCCCAATGAATTTTCATTTTCTAAAAAAATTCTTTTCAATAGAAACTGATGCAAACATTCTTATTGGAGCTATCTGCAAAATCTAGAAAGATCATTTAGAAAGAATGAGAAATACAACTTCAGTGAAATCTGCTTTGATTCTTTCTCCACCACTTTCTGTTCCCATTACAGTCACAAACAAGTCAATTAACCTTCCCACGCACTGTTTCCCCCCACAAAAAAGCGTATAGCACTGCCTGCCTCTTTTACAGGAGCACAAGGAGTTTCAGAACATGCAAAGCTCACTCTAATCCACAGGAAAACAACCTCCAGTACAAAGCTGTTATATAATCCAAGATGTGTGATATTAAGAGCAGCTAGCACCTCATGACAGATTTCAAAATGAATAACAATGTGCACCTGCTCATGCATTAATGCCCTTATTTGAAAAACTTTGTTTCCGAAAGCTCAGGAAAAATAGATTCCAGTCTTGCAAAGTTCCCACAATTCATCCAGTGTTTGTGGGGATCCACAGTACCCTGCATCTTGCAGGTCCAGACCATCCAACACAGCACTTTCTGCACGTGGTATACTCAGGTCCCATACGCATTCATGAGTTATTCACTGAAGGCAAATGCTCATTTCTGTTTTCCCCTTACTCAGAAAAACACCACAGGAGATAACAGACACAGATCCAAGCGAAGTGGAGCAGTAGCAGACAACAAGCACATGGAACAGTTATTTTCAGTAATACTTCTTAATATTCTGTCCTTTATGGTGGATAATCAGTTTTAAGAAATCAAAGTAACACAGAAAACCAGAGTGTGAACAGAGTCACTGCAAAATGTGCGCATCCTTTCACAAGGTCAATTCAGACAAATGGAAGTGAAAAAGAAATGGGAAACAAGGGAAGGTATGAAGCAAATCGGGCCAAAAAGCTGTTGCCATGTCCATGAATACCCAAAGCACAAACAGAACAGTTATGAAAACTGGGGTACAGGATATTCTAATATCTCGTGGGAATATTTGTGAAGAGGTGGGAGAAGGGAGAAACAAAGCAAAGACTTCAAACATCCCTATATATTAAACTCTAAGCCATCTAAAAACAAAGTGTCTTACCTCAAGTTTATATGCCCTGTCCCTGCTAAGGGGCTCCAAAGGAAAACTCAGGTTATTCGCTTCTGCCAGGGAACGCAAATCAAAATAATACTTGGCATAAACACTGGAGGGAACATTAATATTGAACTGCAACAGCTCGAGAAACTGGCGTTCCAGCTCATTCCTGTAGAAAGGAGATAAATATGAAAACACATTTCAGACTGTGCATTCTGAATGTACTTTAAATCGCAAATGGTATAAACCAAGTTCATTTCTTATTCTTGCCAGATGCAATTATCCTCGCCTAAGGTCTGACCTAGTCTAACAAGTTCCATCAGCGCAGACAAGCCAAGGAAGAATACGAAAGATGCTGCACCTCGCAGCTCTTACTGCGATGTCAATCAAATCCAGACACAAACTTTTGCTAATGGAAGGGCACCTTTATCCGTTTAGCTAATATATGCTAGGGGAAAAAAAAAGCCTGCAGGTTAAAAAAACCCCAAAACAAAAGTCTTGTAGTTTCAGCCTTACCTCCACTAGGTGGGTCTGCACACACAGCTATACAAACAGTGCACGCAGACATGCCCTCAAGAGTGTCAGACATCTCAGAAATGCTGCAAATTACTCTAAGTTCTTCAGTAATTTACGTGTTACTCACTGCAGCCCTTCATAATCAGTTATGAACTAGTCATGAACTAGTCATGAAAAACCTGAATTTTTCAGCATACCATCTTTATGAATGGAGTGAAGTAGTTTTTCCCTTGTGCAAGCAAAATTCAGTGGTGATCGCTTGGTTTTCATTACCTAAATCAAATGTGTTTGTCAAAATATCTGATAGGAACAGAGGTCCAATATGAGCTCCCATCCCGTGAAAACTTTGATGTAGCAATATATTATTACCTACACCAGTACTTAAAAAGTATGTTAATAAATATGCAAATCAACAAAATTAATGACTGGAAATTTTCTTAAATTGGGTGGTAACTAGACATGCTATATAATACTTATGCATATTCTCAAAATAGTGATTTTAAGATATGAGAAAAAAAAAGGTGGTAAAAGTTATATGTTTGCTGAAGAATATAGGGACTGCACATCTGTGTTACCAGCAGGTATTGACTAACTGTAATATTGCATTTAAATTACATTTTTAATTCAGTTTGCAAGGAATGTGGAGACAATTGGCAATGGAAGAGGAAGGACATGAGGATAAAAAGTACTGGTACAGTAGTTTTTCAACATGGAATGATTTATCTTTTCACTCGATGCTTACATCAGAATCATTGTCCTTCCCCACCTTCACACTCTCTCTCCCAAAATACTGTGTTTACATAATGATAAATATTAATTAACATCACAAGACTATCTAAAAGCTAGATATGGACTCTCTGGCATAAATCCACACTGTTGAGAATTCTAGCTTTTAAAAGACCCTAATTAACAAAATACATTTTAAGACATCTATCAATAAATACAGAGGATTATCTTTAATTTAATAGCACCATGATTTTACTTCCCACAACCTAAGCCTAAAGGTCTATGTTAATTGATAATGTAAAGCCGGTTTTAATGGAGAAATACATTGAGGTTGTACTTCTTTTGCAGAGCCTCCACAAATCTTTTAAGAAAAATATACACCCTCATTCTTACTATTCTCTAGCTCCCAGATGAAGAGTAAATCAGTAGACTAACTACAGCTGAGAAACAACAAAACCAAACAGGTATTTCTTATTTGAACTAATGTAATTTAACTAACCATCATACCTTTCTTCCCCCATACATTCATATAGGACTGCTTTAGCATGCCCTTTCCTGTGGTCACACCTCAAATTCACAGTACTGCTACATATATGACTACAGATGACACATTTCAGTCCTTCCTAGCCCTCTGTTAGCCACAGTTCTATGAACTGCTGGTGACTTATGGAACACTGAAAGGTCTGCATGATGTTTTGCAAGATACACTTACGTTGAATGATTCACAGCAGTTGAAGATTTTGATCTCTAGGTTTTTTGCTTTATTAATATAAACAATGAAAGCCTCCATCTTGCAGAGAAATAGATACTTAAATCATAATCCTATACTGTCCCAACTACTTGAAAAATAAGACAAGAAAAATCTGCCACACTGGGCATAAGAGGAAAAATTAAAAAAATCTTGGAAAAACTGACAGCAGAAACACAAATATCAGGTCAACAAGCACCGAAATTGTTGTAGGAGGACCCACAAGAAACATCAAACAAACACCACGAGATAGATCAACAAGTACCATATAGAGAGCACAGGCTCCCCAAAGGCTTCTGGTTTTGCAGTTTGTGAGAACTCTAAAATCTTTAAGAAAAGGTTAAGAAACTAAAAACGTTGAGGACAAGGACTCACCACAGTTTGGCTCGGGGAATGTGCGGTGCAGAAAGAGGGTTGATGTTAGCATGGGGCTGCCATGTGAGTAATGGTGTTATGCAGCTCAAGTGCAACTTCTAGCAGCAGCACTATCACATGTGTTTGTCAAAAACAAAAACCTCTTTTTTTGTTTGTTTCCTTTCACACCACCACATTATGCCTCATCACCTGCCTTCAAAAAAAGCCCTGAGAATCAGCAATTTCAAACCTCATACTTCTAACCACTCCTGATTAATACTGTCACATAGCACAGTCAAACCTGTCAGCCTACTTCAAGCTCTTTAGCACTCCAGCTCATGTCCCAGCTTCCAAAACACTCTAAAAGCTCCCAGATTTGCCTGGGAGGAAGAGCGAATGGAGAGAAGCCCCTACTGCCACTGAATACCCAAAAGCATGAGAAAGGGATCAAGGGAAAAGTAGCTTAGCAAAGCAATTCAGGAAACACTCAAAACAGTCAAGGAAGCTTTATCAAATTGTTCTGCATGGAATAATATCGCACATAGAAATGTGAACAGCCTGATTTTCGCTATATCCCCTACCCCCCTTTAAGTTTGGAAATTTCATTCTGTGTGGGTTATGTCAGAAAGGAAGTATCACCAACCACCCTTGAAGTAGTGTACATATTTTAAAACAGATACTGAAATGGCATGACGTGGTATTTCCCACCTCTATTCTGAACTGAGTTTTCCCCAAAACTAATGCAAGTACCTACAGCATACCACAGCAATACGAGCTTTGCCTTTTTCACTTTGACTTGGGGAAAAAAAACAACACACCAGCACTACAAATTGCTTGTTAATATAAGATTTAAAGACAACTTTTCCAATACTTGAGCAATGACAGCTACTCACAATTTATAAGTCTTACCTAGTAGCATAGGAGCATACTTAATTTAAAACAATCAGCTGTCCCCTAACAATCAGCTTTTCCCTCTTTTAGACCAGCTATAAATCCGAAAAAGAGTCAACTACTAAGAAATTAAGCTGAGGCTGCTTTAGCAAAAATGCTTGTCCTTTCAACTGCTTTGAGACTGCAAACTGAGTTTCAAAAACCATTCTTTCTGTATAAATATTTCTTATCTACTTCCCTCCTCCCAGACTGGTTACCCATGACAAACTCTTCAGTGCCTGTGATCCTGACTTAAGTGAGTTAAAGCAGAGACAAGTCTACACACTTCTGATTACAGATACTCAGCTTTGCTTAAAAGAGCTCTGAAACACGTGGATGCTGGACTAAAAAACCCTCTTTTTATTAGTTACTAGTACATGCTAACTATTTAGTGAAATGAGCATTCATTTCAGTATTTGTAAACATGAAGATCTTAACTGTGTTTATTCTTATAACAGTTCTTTTTTATTACTGTTGGAATACAATCTTAATATGACTCAGGAGTATTCAGGCAGATATCACAACTCTCTATGCTGTTACGATACGCACTGCTTAAGAATGGCAACAGAGAAAAAATAATTTAAAAATAAATGGAAACTTAAAATACTAGATTCTTAACATCTTGGAAAATTAACTCAGCAGGATACAGGGGAGAAAAAAATGCAAAAATCAAAGCCAAACCCAAAAGCACTAACTTTGAACAGTATCTCAGGGTCACTAGGATCATGACAATATTCTTCTTGCTTTTTATGTTGGTCTGATGTCTGTATATGGAGAACTAGCACAACACGTGAATGTTGCTGGCTCACATGAACACACGAAGGCTCATTGGACATAGGGTTCTCTGTCAAGTCATACACTGAAACATTCTGCAAGTCTGTTTCCATCGCCATGCATGAACATCCAGTGGCATAATACACTTCAACCAGAAACCAAAAATAATTTATGTCTTCTATGTAAGCAACTATCAAATAGACCTTGTGTCATCTATCAGCATTTATCATGTTTAGATACAACACAGATATATAAACATTATATAATTTATGACAGAATTTCCCATCCCCCTCATACACAGAGATCTTGGCATTCATTGGCAAAGATAAACAAACTGCACTCACATGTCTTCGACTGTGATATCTTTCAGGATCTGGCAGTAATCCACGTTCCACACTGCCTGGTCATCCCAAACTTTGGAGGCCAGTAGAATTGCACCCAGTACAATTCGCTTCCAGTTTGCTGGACAAATATCTATCTCCGCATAAGTTAAAAGTCTTTCAAGATATACCTGTGGGAACAAGTTAAAAGCAAGACTTAATCTATGTGGCTATTAAGCAGAAATGAAAAAGCGAATTATTCTCATAAACCCATTCCAGCAATTTTAAAACAGTAATCTGCTCTCAGGAAGATTCTTTTATAAAAGCTGTAGGTTTAACTACACACACTTACGCCAAGCTTGAGAGCAGATGTGAGAAATTCATATTTTAGTTGGCCTCTGCCTTCTGATCATATTACCAAAACCAAAACTGTTATTTTTATATCTGTAAGTGTTGGTAATATAGTCACATGTTGGAATGAATTCAAATGATAGCTTAAATAAATTATTAAAGTAATAATGTAAATAAATAAAATGCTAATTACTGAGGATGGCAAGGTTATGCTACCAAAATAGTTAATAGCTGTTATACAAAAAACTATAGTTGTAATGTGCAGGCAGTTATAGGTACGGCATCATGTCATGCTGGACCCCTCTGGTGAGCTGCATGAAGAGGTTCTACAGACATGAGAGGATGGATGGGGGAATGGTTACCACAGAAACTGCAAGCTGAACAGAAAGGAAAAGTATGTGCTAAGAAGGCAATTTGTAACAGTTTCCTCTAGACTGACAGGCTCTGGAGATGAATAACAGCAATCCTGTCTGACCCACAAGAACCAACACACCCCGGACCCCACAGCCTGGCCCAATCTGCTGGCTAGCTTCAACCAGAGCTTGTATGGGCCAGACCTCATCCAAGAGGACCACAGGACTATATATGCACATCTGATGCAACCAGGGACCCTGGAGGGACTTTCCGAAAATCTCCCAAAAAGCTGCTGGGGATGGGAATGCAGTATGACCCTCTGCCCCCCACCCCAACTCACGCTCCAGCCAGGGAACTATGGGTCAATACATGAGGGAACCATGGGAGCAAGTAAGCCAACACGCTGTGTGAACAGTTGCCAGCTATCGATAACAGCAGCCGAGCTATGTTCATAATAACAGATTGTTTAACAAAATGTGGGTGATCTGTGTGTCCCCCTAGTCTGGGGACGGTTATGATAAGTGCAAGGAATTAGAAGTTGGCAAGAAAATCATTGAAAACCATAGACATCTGTTGCACAATTTAAAGTTTTACAGTAAAACAATGTATTTTATGAAAAAAATACTAAATATCTGAATGCATGTACACAGACATTCACTCCACAAAAATCAATTCTTACACACTCAGCAGTATAAATTGCATACTGAGCAAGAAAATCATGGGAAAAAAACCCAACATACAACATTAGACAACTTTCATTCAAGGTGGCCACCATAAAGTATAAGCTCTTTCCTTCCTACTTTTACTGTAGGAAATAAAACTTAAGTTACAGTGCCTGTAATGGTCACCAATACAGTCATATTACAATGAATGCATGTGCAAAATGTGTAGAATTTTCTCTTCTCAAAAGACTACCTCTCCCAATCAACAGATTTCTCCATCCGTTGCAAGGTTGCTTCCAACAGGTTTCACTGCACTCTTTCAGCAATGACTTCAGGAAGATCAGATGCAGTCAGTCATTAAGTTGGTAAATTCTGCTCTGATTCAGAACTTCTTACCACCTTCACTAGCACCAAGGAAGTGAATTTGTTCTGCACTTTCATTTCCCACCCCTCAAACCACTTGCTGTGCACAAATGAACAGAACTTAAAACTGGAAATGCTTCAACATGACAAAACAGACACGTTTACTACAACCAACAATTGGTCCTGCTATGCTACTCTGTAAAAATACAGGTTTGCATTTACTGAAGAATAACCTATTCTTGGTGTCTTGTAATAGATCTTACAAGGCCTTTCTTCACTGAATTGTGATAAAAAGTAATTAGGTGGTTATTCAGATTGCTCTTACATGAATCTACATTGACTGATAGAAGCTAGGAGATTTTGAGATACTCTGATTAAAGTCCAGTATAACAACTTATTGTTACCATCATTGCCAAAATGGTTTCAATGATTTTGTGAAATTATAGAATGCTCAAAAAGTCTGAATAGTTACAATATGTTAGATATTACAGACTGGTCAAATCAGAAAAAAACATATCAGTAAAAGAACTTTGGCTTTCTCACTTCACAAAAGGTTCTCTATTTCTCTTGTGTTAATGAGGAATTAACTTTATTCTTGTTTTTTGACATTTTGTTGAACTCAATCTACGTCATTAGGCACAAAAAGACAGTTAAAGTAAACATTCAGAAGTCTCTATGAAAACAAAGTTACACTCAGTTATAAAATCAGAATATTTAGAGCATGAGACTTCGCAGATAAAACTGCTGATTTTTCTTTTTTTTTCCTTAAAATTTAACAAACTTACAGGTAGCAAGACATCATGAAACTTAAAGATGAATTTTGCAGGAGGCCAGACTCCTGAATATACCACTTCTTCTTTAGCTATGATTTGTCCCTGCCTACTATTCTAACACTGAGGAAAACCGTAACATTATAACACTGTAAACCAAAATATCACTAACTGTTCAGAAAATTATTATCCTTTATAAGGAAGGTAAAACACTGTTTATGTACAAAATTATAAATTCCAAATTATGTGTCAAGCTCGTTATTAAAAGTAGACTATTGACTTTTTCGTTAGAGCATCACTCTGAAAAGATTTTGATGCATAAAATTTAGAATCGGGAACTCTGCCTATGAAGGTGTAGTGGTTTGACCCTGGCCGGCAGC